GCCGAGCAGCATCATCATAGGAGCAGAAAGGCTTTCTGCTCGGCCTGCTGTGTTCATCCAGCCCTGCACCTTGTTGTCTTGAAAATTGATCTGATGGGTTGCTACTGGTGATGCTGTTAATATGGCTAAAGGACAAGATTACATATATAAATCATATTAGATGAGACTGGCTGAGAAAACAGTTTTTCAACACCAACTACACCAGACCTTATTCTAATTTTGAACAGCTCACTTAAATCACCGCTTGACTTTCTAAACTCAAGGCAATCAAAGTTGCATTTATGCAATCTATCTGCATAACTTTATTGTGGAAGTCTCAGTATTTTTCTAGTGAATCTGCACTGGATCCCCTCTAAGACCAACAAGCCCTTACTGAGACAGTGTCCAGAAATGAATGCAATACTCCAGATAGGAAGTCTGATCAAGGCACTACACAAGTGAACTGAAACTTCTTCATTTTTGTATTCCGAACTTCTTAATAAAAGTAAGATTTACCCATTAACTGTTTGATTATTTTATTGCAATGCCTATGACCAGTGACAAGGAATTTCCTTCGTGAATAATTATACTCATTAGCAAGTGATTACCAACAGCAATCTGCATACTAGCTTTTACTGATTTATGTATCTATCTGAGCACCAAAATCTTTTCTCTCTCTAAATTCCCAAGCTTCTGCTATCAAAGAGAACATGCTGATTTCATTTCTTTTGATCCATCATACTTTCTAATATTGAACTTGATCAGTCAGCTTTGTTTTATGTGTCTACGTTCTGCAGTGTGTGTGTTGAAAAACACAGCACATTACTGTATCCCCACCAACTAGAAAACACCCTTTCTTTACCCAAGTTATCAATATGCATGCTGATATATGGAGATTCTCGCACAGATCCTGGAGAACACCACTTGTCACATATCTTTTATATCTACTCTGTGACATAGGTTGATAGGCTGGAAAATGGAAGCTACTTCTAATTCTGCTCTAATTTTTGTTAATAATCTTATCTTACTAAATGCCTTCTAGGAGCCCAAAGGGACACAGATGCCATCCCTGCCCATGATGTGACTGACCTTAAGAATTCAATTAGTCAGACTTGACCTACTGTTCCGACATCAACACAGGTCAGCATAGACTTGTTCAAGTGTTCAGTTCACTCTGTCCCTGATGATTTATTGCTGGAGTTTCTTGCCCAAAATTGACATTAAACAAGAGTGTTTTCATGAATTTGTGACAAAGCATCACCTTTCCTAGACATTAGTTCATACCACAGAGTTTCTGGAGTTTTAAAAAAAAACCTAGAAGTCACAGCAATAATATCTTAAACGCTGCTACAATTAAACTATGTTTGTGAAATCTGTAAATCTTTAGAACAGTCAAAATTAAATTGCACTGAAAATACAAAGCAGCTAAATACAGATTGGAAATTAACAAATGGAAGAATACAATGTACACAAAAGAGGCTAGATTTTACAGGAAGCAATGAATCCAGAGATCTCTGCGCTATGGATTTCCCCTTTCCTGACCTCAGTTGGAATCTGGTGTCAAGGGGTTCACCAAGCAGCTAGTGAGGACATCATCAAGCTGGATAAGCTGCCAATTACACAGAAATCTCTCTATGGACAAAAAACCAGGAAGTAAAATTGCACCATTCTTTCAGTTTTAATTAAGATTTTATAGAAAGCAAAATAAATGATCAGAACATACTACAGGGAATTAAAGTAGATGCTGAAATATAAAATAAACTTCAAAACAATTTAAAAATGTGATTGTTTTTCAAAAAACAAAGGAGGTTGTTTATCAGAAATTACAAGTTGAGCATGTTGTTACGAAGTTACACCTCATTCAAGTACATATGCAGCAACACAAAGGAGGCAACTTCTCAGCAATTGAATGATTTTCATAAAGTTAGAGTGAGGGAACTTGCACTGCACCCAATGGGCACAATATATAATTATGGCAGCAAAGAATTTAAGTGAACATATGCAGACTCCAGACGTTGCTGTCAGTTTCAGAGATATGACCACAGCAAATTCCAACAGCTTCTATCGTCATTATTACCAGAAAATCTGGGATATTTTTTGCTGCAGAGTAGTGGAGGAAAGTACAATGAAAATGCCATGGTTTCTTGAATCTACTTATAATTTGTTTTGGGAAAAATGGCACTAAGACCACACAGTTTGGTGATGTCAATCGTTTAAAAGACTCCTAGGTAGAAAAGCGATCTAACAAGTAGCAGTAGGAAACATGCAAAATAATCTGTATGAATAATAATTTTGGAAGTGCTGACTAAAATGAATTGACACATGGCTCTTCAGACCTTGGATAACTTTCTAACAATTTCACTCAATCTGTCCCAATATCTCCTGTTAACTCTTGAACAAGCATTCACTTCACAGATTTTGAACACGAACAAGGTAATTAAATCCGGCACAGCAAAGGACAAGGGTTTGGAATAAGTTGTAATAGCAAAAATCATTATAAAAAACAGGTGTGAAATCAAGAACATGGAGTGGAAGGCAGTCATAATGTCATTTTCTGAACACCATAATCACCCTTTTACATTGAAGTTATTTAATATGATACAAAAAAAATCTGAATTTTTACTAGCATATATTATCGCAAGCCGTCTATGTTCTTTTTAAATTGTATGGTAGACAACAATTTTCCACTTCTTTAGTAGATGGCAAATGTAACAAATTAATGTTAGTATAAAATCAAACTAAACTACACAAATGCATCCGATCCTAAAGCGAAGCATCAGTATCAAATGGAAAATTTTACAAGGAACTGTAGTCAATTCAAAAATACAAGTTTGTGCAAGTGGCAAACAAAATAGAAATGATCTATAATATTTAATAACTTGCTTACCTGATTAACCACACCCTGTGAAATAACAGACAAATGCTGATTTTGCTGTGTTACATTGTCCATTGCTATTTTGGCTATAGTACTGGAATCAGATCCTACTGGCACAGCCACCATTGTTGAACTGCAGCCAGCATTATTAGGATCACTGATGGTAACAATTCTTACTCCCACTTTATTTGGTATTCCTGATGTACTATCTTTGCAATCAGCTGGCCTTTTTAAAAGCTGACTCTCAGTTGTACCATTGGTTGGAGTCTGATATAGTTGAACTGAATGCACAGCTACAGGTCCAGGTTGGTGTGGAACTGGAGGGCAATGCACCTGGGGAGCATGAGGAAGCAAAGACTGCACAGAAACAGCTGAAGTTGAGCATTGCTGAAATGGAGGCACCACTGAACAAATGCCAGCTGTCACAGGTCCGTTGGATAATCCTGAGTTTGTATCACCGATTTGCTCGTCTGAGCTTGAAATGACTGTACAGATAGCACTAGAATTTCCCACTGAAACGGGTCCATTATGCACTTTGGTCGATTGACCACTTTTGGCAGTGTTTTGCTGATTACAGTCCATTTTGCGCCATTGCTCCTCTGCAGTGACATCACCATTTTCCACGTGGTTGGAAGCTCTATGATTTGGAATGCTTTTGCTCAAGTGTGAACCATCTCCTTTTTCAAAATCGCAGATCCCATTAACCATAGGCATTTTCAAAAGGTCTTTCTTAATTTCCTGCACTCCTGCATACTCTACATTCAGCTTCCCATTGGTTACATTTTCACGTACTCCTGTCAAAGGTCCATTTGAGGCCATTGTGCACTGGATGGGCTCAGACTGAGCAATCCCTGAGTTACATGGAGGTAGATGCGAATTATCATGATTTTTTCCATTTACAAGTTTTGTTGCTTGTATTTTGCTTTCCTTTAACTCACCATTGGTAGCAGTACCTCCCTCTGAACAGGAAGGATTCTCCATAATTTCAATTTTACGTTCATGCAGATGTAAATCTGTTGTATCTTTTGCTTCTTCCTCCTTCTGGCAAATAATTTTGTCACCTGTGAACGCAATCCCAGATTCTGAGCTTTTTACCTGTCCACTCTGTGGTGTCAAGGTGGATGCAGATGCTTGTACTTGGAGACCAACTCCTGCATGAGGCCCACTGACAGCAATTCCTGCAGGTGCAATGATCTGTGTTCCGCTGCCATGACTCCCAGCTGCAGCAGTGAAGGTGGTATTTGGCACAACAGTAATAGTAACTTGGTTGCCGGTTGTTCCCTGGAGAAGAGCAGCAGTGTTACTAGCAGAGATCAATTGACCTGGTAAAATCTGCATATGAGGAATGGGCACTGTCTGCACAGATCCCTGTGAATGGATGGGACCTTGAACAAGTTGCACATTTTGGTGGCCAACAACTAATTGCTGACCTTGGGCTTGAACTCCAAAATTACTTGCCTGATTAGGAGTTACTTGGTAGACCACCTGAGGACTAGGAGCTCTGGTATTAGAAGGGAGAGGCATTTGAGGAGCAGGCAATATGAGTTTACCACCTGGAGTAGGCGGACCTCTTTTGGGAAGAAGTAATTGTTTTATTAAACTGGACTCCCCAGAGGGTGGTTGACTAACTGCAGTATTGGTCTGCTGGGACTGAAGCTGCATTTGGAACTGCTTTTGAGGATGCTGTTGTTGCTGTTGCTGCCGTTTCACAGATAGCATCTTACTCACTGTTTGAGGCCCCTGTTGTTGAGGGGTGGATGGTTGAGTAACTAAGCCCACTTGTACCTGTGTGTTGTTGACAGGTACGGATGGCGAGGACGAAGAGGTCACATTTGCCTTTCCAGCCAAATGAATAGCTTGGCTAGCTTGAATAGTAGCTGGATTTGTTAACAATATTTGATGAATGGCAGGGGCAAAACTCTGTCCCTGTTGAGCTGGCTGACTAACAATCACATGTACACTTTGCTGGGGTTGCTGTTGTATTATGGTAGACTGAACTTGCTGTGGTGGCATTCCTGCTGGTTTTGGTGCTATATTCTGGAAACTCATCCTAGGAGCTGGAGGGCTTTGAACACCAGCAATTGCAACTACTTGACCTGCTGAGACTTGAAAATTTGGCACGGCAGCACCAGATACAACAGTGGGACTTGGAGTAGAGGAATAGTGCTGAGGTGCCAACAGAACGGTGTCTTGCTGGTTGTGTGTTTTTGGCTGCTGGCGTGGCGTTTGTACAGAGTGCAATACTGCACCGGATAACAGCTGTCCTTGGGAAACAGTGACAGTGGGGGTTGGTGTACTTTGAACTCTGCCAACTGCTGCATGACTATGAGAGACAGCTTGCTGTAATACAGTAACTGTTGTTGCTGTAGAGGTATTCACCTGATTAGAAGATACTGCTGGTATGGAGAGCTGGTGGCCAGGAAGCTGCTGTTCAAAGACCTGTGGATGGTGAAGCATTTGCTGAGAAGTTGTTATTTTAACTGATGATTGTGTTGTGGTGGCATGGTTTTGGATCACTATTCCAGGTGGTATGCTGGTTCCAGTTAATGAATATGGAACTGTAACTCCAGAATGAGTGCTAGATGTTGGAGACTGGGCAACTGTACACTTGACTGCATCACTTGTAATTGGAGTTCGGCTTTGTACAAGAGTCACTGCAGTATTTTGGTGTGGTTGTGCCAGGCCAGTTTGATCTTGTGATAACTTGGTAACATTGTGAGCTGGAATACTTTGTTGAAATGTGTAGATCATTTGAGATCCTGGCTGACTAGCAGAAAGGTTTCCTGGAGGCATCCTCTGAAAGTGATTTACCATTGCCTGTGCTGAAATAAAGAAATAAAATTTCAACAGATGACTATCCATTCAAAAGGCAATTTACTGTGTTCAAGAATTACAGTTTCCTCATTCCCAGTATATATTAAACATGCAGAATCAGGGAATAGAAATTGACTCAGACAAGTTGCCTACACTTTGAAGTTCCATGTCACGTGACTTTCATCATTCACCATCCCACACATTAACTAGTTCCTAAATAACTATGCAAAAGCACACGCTAACTATTAGAGATAGTAGGAACTGCAGATGCTGGAGAATCTGAGATAACAAGGTGTAGAGCTGGATGAACGCAGCAGGCCAAGCAGCATCATAGGAGCAAGGCGGCTGACGTTTCGGGCCTAGACCCTTCATCAGAAATGGGGGATGGGGAGGGGGTTCTGAAATAAATAGGGAGAGAGGGGGAGGCGGATAGAAGATGGATAGAGGAGAAGATAGGTGGAGAGGAAACAGACAGGTCAAAGAGGCGGAGATGGAGCCAGTAAAAGGTGAGTGTAGGTCGGGAGGTAGGGAGGAGATAGGTCAGTCCAGGGAGGACAGACAGGTCAAGGGGGCGGGATGAGGTTAGTAGGTCGGAGATGGGGGTGTGGCTTGAGGTGGGA